ACAGGCAGCAGGAGAAGCAGGAATGAGAACCCAGGATCTCAGGGAGCATCTGTGGTCCGAATGGCGCCTGCATTCTCACCAGAACAGCTGGAAGTAGGGTCCACGGACATCTTCATGACATTCTGACGCAAACTCACATTTCATGGGTTTAACTCGACTTTCTCCCACATTTTCTAGAGCATTAAATGAGATCATGTGAAGCTGATTACTACTCATAGTTTAATCCATGCTTATCAAAAACAAACAAAAAGGAAACTTCCATTGAATTCATTGTTTCAATCGGTATCACTCATATTTTCAAATTAGTGCTCTCTGAAGACACACATGCTTCAAACACGGGGGAAGTTTCACTCGATTCTAAATATAAACGTGAAGTATTTTCTTCAATATAACCATGGTCAGTAAATCTCTCATTTATGAGTCTCTCTGGAGTTGATTACCTGCCTGGACAGGTGTGACCCCGACCGGGAGTGGTGGGACATTATCCTCAGACCATCAGATCAACGCGTGACAACAGAATTCATTCTTATTTATTCTTACCTTGAAACTGAATTACACAGGAAAGGGAAGATTACTTAGAAATCCTGACGTGATACGAGGCTTTGTCGTTTAGGTTTCACTGGCAGGATTGACAAACAGAGTGAAAGAGAGATTTGACTTCATACTGATCAGTACTTGATATTGGTCATTCATTCCTAAACATACTATTTTGAAGACCATTTACAGCCAGAAAACCCCACAGTGGTCACCGTTATACATCGCCAAAGAATGTGACTTATTGAACTTGGTCATTTATTAAACAGCAATCAGCTTTGATTACTGAATTAGAAAATGGCTGTGGGGCTTTTAAAGCTGTTGGGCGTTGTCCATATTACAGCAAATCGGTTCTGTGTCCGACCACATGGCTGAGCTGGCCTCACGTCCTAGGAACCCGTGGGAAAGCTGTAGGAGTTACAGGATGTGGGTGGGCTTGGACCCCCAACACTGTAACCCGGATCTTCAGCCTCTTCAAGTAAATACCCCGTTGGTACTTCACCGTAACGCATCCCCCTGCCCAAGGTCACATGTCTGTTAGTAAAAGAGAGTTGGGATTACAAGGTCTGTCTACACCATGTGTCAATTCCAAATCCCGGAGCTAAACCCTATGCCACTCTGCCTCATCCATTATTTGCGTCACTGAATCTGGATCTGAGCTTCTGAAGCGCTGCCTGAGGGGGTGCATTTTCAAAGGGAAAACTTGCTCCTACAAGTATAGAAACCTAACTTTCAGATTTGAGGAAATAAAGCAAGAATAGGTCTTCGTGTCTGTCCTCTCGTCCACAGTTGCTATATCCGTGAGGGTCCGGGTCCATTTTGGAAGATTCAAAACGAAGTTTGGAGACACTATGAACAAGATAGAATCTATGTGTTTGTTTTTGTAAAGATAAGCATTAATTTAGCACAACAGATAAGACCGTTATACTAGTCATTCCCAATCACGACGTCCCCAGCTTCCTCAGAGCTCGTTCCATTAAATTTCTTTATCTGTTAGAGCAATTGCTCTGTCTGACAGCTTAAGGAAATAGCTATAGTTGTATGTAACCTACAAAATGCAATTCCTTAAAATTCACATAAGCAGGACTTGTATTACCACACGGTATCCAAATACATTTAAAACACGTGCAAATGCACTAAATACTTATTTTGCTAACAAATATCAGAAGGTTTACAAAATAGCATACTTGTCTGCTACTCTTCCTGAAATATTAAAGCAGATGGTACAGAGTCTAGAACTTGGGTCCTAAAAGGAACCAGGGCTCCTTGGAAGAGGAGCTGATGACAAGCAGAGGCAGGAGCTCCAGTTGAGCTGGGAGGAAGGGCTGCACGCTCATGGGGTTGGTGAGGGGTCTCCCCTGAGCAGATTTGCACAGTTTGAGAAAAAGGCAACAATGGTAACACAGTCCAAAGGAGCCGTTGAACCGTCTGCATCGTGAAAGAAAAGAAACAGAGAGAAAGCTCTTCTAAACAGAAGAGCATTAAGGACTCATCTGAAGAAATGCCGACATTGCATCTCCATTTCCTAAACCCGGTGTGGTGGCCGGTTCAGCCAGGTTCACAGAGGGCGCTGAACCACCACACGAGAAGTTTCCTGGGACAGGATACGCGCACGAGCTCAGAGGACCAGGCTGTCTCATCAACCAGCTGCAAAAGCAAGAGTCACTCTTTTCACCAAGTGATCAGAGTTCACGTCACCAGGAGTGCACGACTGAGGTCGTGTCCATGGTGGGTCACAATAAGAGGCTCACACCGTCACCAGGCCGTGTTCTTGCTCAAAACATGCGGCCTGACCTCCATCGGGAGGAGGCAGTCAGAAAAACCCAGCACGGCCCGCAGTCCATTAACCATGAAATTTTAATGTTCAATTTGGGCTGTTTTGTTGTTGCTCTGTGCACAGGTATACTGGTAGTTTTTCATTATATTTTTTCACAGTCCAATGCCATTTGCAAGATGTGAAAAGCTAGGACATTATATTTTGGGGTTTTTTTAAAATTACTATTTTATTGAGGTCATATTGACTTATAACATTGTCATATTTCAGTTTCTGTATAGACTGCATCATGTTCACCGCCCAAAGTCTTGTTTTTATCCATCACCATGAATATGTGCCCCTTTGTCCCCGTCACCCTTCCCCCGCCACCTTTCCCTCTGATAACAACCAATCTGTTCTCCTTAGCATGTGTTTGTTTATCCTCCATGTGAGTGAAATGATACGGTGTTTGTCTTTCTCTGTCTGACTTATTTCACTTAACATAATACCCTCAAGGTCCATCCATGTTGTTGCAAATGGCACGATTTTGTCTTTTTATGACTCAGTGTTCTGTTGTGTATATATACATCTTCTTTATCCATTCATCCATTGGTGGACACTTGGGTTGCTTCCATGTTTTGGCTATTGGGAATCATGCCGCAATGAACATGCGGGTGCATAAGTCTCTTTGCATTGTTCATTTCAAGTTCTTTGGATAAATACCCAGTAGTGGGACAGCTGGATCTTATGGTATTTCTATTTTTAATTTTTTGAGAAATCTCCATACTGTTTTCCATAATGGCTGCACCAGTTTATATTCCCACCAGTAAATTAATGCCATTTTAATAGAGTTTTTATATTGTAATTATATAATTGTATTATATTTTGTATTATTAAATAAGATCTAAATAGGAAGTTGAAAGGCACCATTTAGAGTGATCTTAGTGTTCTATAATAAAGACACAAAACTGGTAAAGACCAATGAGGCATTCTTGTAAATTGTATTTTCATGCTTTTTGATGAACATGAGCAGAATTGAAATCTTTATTTTCTCCTCTAAACTATTATATTTATTTAGCTGAAAGCAAATTATTTACACCATAATTGATAAGGTTAATTTGAGGCTGAAAGTTGGTTGTGACTTCAAACAATGAATAAGTAGCCTTTAGTCTTTACAATGTGATATAAAATGAGGTAATAACCCTGAGCCTGGGGGCTGCCATGTCCCTGCCACATGGCCAAAGCTCTGGTCAGAGTAAGGGTCTCCCTGCCAGCACTCCCCCCCAACTCAACCCGCAGCTCCAGACACCCAGACTCCCAGGATCTCGGGACCTTCTTGCTTTCTTGCTAGAACTCGGCCTTCCTACTACAGCCTGCCAGGCAGCGCCCAGGAGCTGCCACGAGAAAGCCCCTCAACGTGATTCAGACCCACGTGGTGGTTAAGACCGGAGACCTAGGGAGACACAGCCCTCATGTGATGGGGAGATCTCACATACACACCCCCCCCGCAAACCTGACCCCCAGCCCCATGTTCCCTCCTGAATTAGCCGCCACCACATTAAGTGTAGACGCCCAATGAGGACACTCGCCGGCAGCTGATGCGCCATCCTATCTTCCATTTTTCAATAGTGGAACCCGGTTACAGGCCTCATGCCACACATCTTTCAGAAAAATCTAATTCCATCCAGAGCGTGTTAGGAGGAGCACGGCTGTGGGCTCACTGTGGCCCTCCGGCAGGAGGCCTTCCTCCCTGGAGGTGACATGAGCAGCACCCAGCACCCTCTACTGCCGGCCGGGCAGCCGAGCACACGATTCAAGATCGAGGCCCCTGGTTGCCCCCCAACACCAGACCGTACAGCGTTGAACTGTCCATTCAGTCAAGGAAACAGGGGTCTCTGCGCCTCAGGCTTGTTTCTCTACAGTCTCTGGGTGCAGCCAGGGGCCAGGAGCAGCGGCTCAGAGCTGAGGTGACAAGCGACACAGGCCCCAGGGGACGAGGCTGCAAAGACACAGGGCAGGGAGCCTTGCTGGGACTCGGAGCTCAGCAAAGACCCGTCTCAGAGAGTGACAGCCGAGCTGAAGGAGGTCCCAGGATCATGGAGCACACAGCCTGGGAAAAGCTCGAGGCTGAGGAACCTGGTTCCACACGCTGGGGACCTGGGGCTGCCCTCCCCCAAGGCCAGCACAGAGCGGGCCCCTCGCCCCCTCGTCCCTACAGCCCGGCCTGGTGGGGCAGCAGGAAGGGAAAGGACAGGCCGAGCCAGAGCTGCCGTGAGGTCTCAGCAAATCTCATCTCCCGGACCCAGTCCCCTGGTCCACCATCAAAGGGGTTTGATACAGCGACTTCAGGGACTCTCCTGCTGGAACCTGTAGATCCCAGTATAGATCCCTCGGACGTTGTCACGTGTTTGCCCCCCAAGTGTGTGTTGAGGGGGAATCTTTACTCCCCGAGGTCAGGACCCAAGTGTCCGTGGTGAGGGCTGCTCAGCACCAGCTCTGCAGGAGGCTCCAGGTTCCAGTTGGTTTAAAGGCTTGAATCAGCACAGGGGGCCCGTGGACTGGCCCCAAGAGGGTGGGTGGTGGTGTCCTTCTTGCTCTGTGACCGCAAACCCTGGTGGCTGGTGAGGAGATGGTTCCAGGTTTTCCTGCCTCTTTAACCCTCCGAGGAGCGAGGAGCCCCCGGCCGGTGCACTCAGGCCTCCCTCTCTTGCAGGGCTTCCCCGGGAACTCCAACGCGGACAGCGTGGTGCACCACAGGCTGCGGCCGCCCGTGGAGGCCAGGCACCTGCGCTTCCTGCCTTCCTCCTGGAACCCCGACGGTCGGATCGGGATGCGCGTGGAGGCCTATGGATGTCCATACAGTACGTGCGGGGCCGGCGGGTGGGCGCCTGCAGGTCTGCCGCATCCTGCAAAGATGCAGAGAGAAGGGCTCTTCCTAAAGTCTTTACCAGGCATAATTGACTCCACCCCGTGTTGGCGTAGGAACCCAGGGAGAACTCCCAGCCGTGCTTCCTGGATCTTCTTGCTGAGGGTCTGTTCCCAGGGCTCATGGCCATGGCCCCTCTCTCCTTTTTCTGTCTTTCTATCTCTCTGTCTCTGTCTGTCTGTCTGTCTCTCTCTCTCTGTCTCCTGTCTCTCTCTCTCTCTGTCTCTCTCTATCCAGTTATTTCACAAGCCCCACTGGCCCGCGTGGGCGGGTTCTCACCTCCCAGCCACATGTACACCGAGGTTCCCAGAGGTGGGGCTGTGTTGAGCAGCGTCCTGGTCCCTCGATCGCTCATTCATCACGTCCACACTCGTCAGGACTTGTTCTTTGCAGAGAATTACAGCAGGGATGTGATGTGGAAAGTGGGTCTATTTTCCTTACAATGAGGAGATGACACATGGATTATGCAGAACAAGGGTGACGGGGACAGCCTGGGCCAGGGAGCTGCCTAGGAGGGGTTGCAGCTGTGAACAGGGTAGAACAGGCGTCTGGTGTGGGTCCATCAGGGGGACACCCAGAGCTCAGGGGTCAGACTGGGAGCTGACGCTGTCACCCCCACAGGGTGACCTCGCGGGAGCCATCGAGGCCGCCGTCCCTCCTGACACTCTCCACCCCTCCCCGTGCCCCTGCCCTGCACGGTCCTGAGGGCAGTGGTCTCAGGGTCCTTTCGCCCAGCGCTTCCACCACCCGTCCCCTCACCCCGGACACCCTCATCTCGGAGGTGTTCACGGCTGAGACTCCGACACTGGATGTCCCTGGTCTCCAGTTCCCTGAGTTCCTCCTTCTGAGGGGGACGTGCGCTCCGATAAGGACCTACCATCAGCTGCAGCCACGTCAGCTGAGCTGGACCCGGCCCCCGAGGGAGTGCGGCCCTGCTGTTTCCACGGGATCAGCAGCACCCTCGGATTTAGCAAAACCGAGTCCCTGGGGACACAAGGTCTGGGTCAAAACTCAGATCATTTATGACTGTGATGAACACACAGCCCAGCATCTGCTCCCGGAAAAGGGAGACGCTGCCTGTTTATCCCCATCAGGGCGAGACCTGGCTGTTCACGCTCCGCTTTCACAGCCCTGGCTCCGCTGTGTGATCGCGGGGAGTCCGCCTCCTGCTCCGCGCGTCCCCCTCGACCTCCGAGGAGCCCCACCTGCTCCCGCCCCGCGTCCCCATGGCTGTCATCCTGCGCCACGCCCCCCGCCGAGCCCTCCCTCACGCCCCCAGCTTCCAGGCTGGGACCTCACTGTCGGCATAAACCCGTGTTGCTCCCCGCGGGCCGGTGGCCCCTGGACGAGCCTCCCTTGGTCTGGCCTCGGCGGCTCCCGAGCCCCACGTCCCCGCCCACACGCTCTCCTCCTGCGCGAGGCTGTCCCCTGGTCGTGCGCTCGTGGGTTCCAGGGTGGGCTGAGACGATGGGGGGACCTCATCCAGGACTCGCTCTCCACCCGAACTCAGGGAGGAAGCCGGGCTTCCCGCCCACAGGCAGGGCAGGGGCGGGGACGAGACTCCAGAGGACACCTGGGGGCGGGGCTCTCTCCGCTCTGATGCAGCAGGGTTCCTGCTAAAACTGGACCGAGCCGGCGGAGGACCAGCCAGGGACTCGCGAGCAGGATGCAGAGGAGCCGGTGGCATGCTGGTCGAGGGGATCTCCTTCGCTGGGAGTGGACGGCTCGCCCGGCACAGGCTCCTCTCGCCTCTGTTGGGTGGAGGACGTCCTTCCAGGGCCCCCGGGCCCTTTGCACATGAGTGTCCCCCTGTGCCTTCAGCACCCCACTGCTCTGGGACGCCTCCTTTGGCTACAGTTGAGCATTCCCTCTAGCCCCCGACCCCAGCACAGTTTAGGGCCCCAAGTCCCCTCTCAGGGAGGGGACCTCCCTTCTCAGTTACTGGACCCAGTTACAGCAGAGCCACCCCAGCCCAGTCGATCCCGGGGTTCCAGCTTCCAGTTCATTTTCAATCCACCCACCCCACTTTGTCCTTCACCCTTGGGTTGAGTCCCAGATAACCGTGGCAGCCCCGGGGGTATCTCTTGACCCTTGGAAATGCTGCCTTGGCTGCAGTGAGCAAGAGCCTGCCCACCTGCCAACCCAACAAACACATTGGCCTTTGTCCCCAGCTGGGGGCCTTCGCTGCAGCCGCATTACTTCCTAATTCCCCGGCTGTTTCCCTCGGTCCTGCCTCAGGTCTGCTCCCCCACCCACTCAGGCAGCAGAGGAAGGAGCTGCCCCCCTGCAGCCAGGACGACCGATCTCAGCCCTCCAAAGTCACCACCATGTCTCTGGCGGCTTCAGGGCCTTTGCACAGACAGTCTCTGGTGTCCGCCGTGCTTAGCCTTCACTGTTTATTTTAAGACCACATCTGCTGAGGAGTAACATACATACAGGAAGGGACACAAGCCGCAACTGCACAGCTGTGAGTTTCCAGTGGCTCCTCCCGCCCTCAGGGCACCGACCCTTCACCCTGAGGGTCACACTGAGATTGCATCCGAGCTTTGAACACTGTGCACTGAACGCTGAGGACGGATAATTGCCCTGGCTTCTTTCCCCCACCTCCGCTGCTGTGCCTACTGCCTCTGAATCAGCCCCAATTCGCCTCCTTTGCTGATAACTCCCGGCGCCCCTGTCCGGGCTGGTGTCATGCCCATGTGCTGCCATGGCAACCTGCTCTGTCCCCATGGCAACCTGCACATCCTGGGGCAGAGTTGTACCCGTCCACTGGTCCACAGGAGGGAAATGGATGAATAAGGGAATGCATCATCCGGAGTGTGGAGGAGGTGGGCAGAGGTGCCCACCCAGGAAGGGGTCTGCTCATCCTCCATGCAGCCTCGGAGATCAGCTCTCCGCCTGACGTTAAGGCCAGAAGGGGTCGGGCGGGGCTCAGAGTGGACCACATGCTGCAGCTTCCAGGTGCCTGGATGCTCTGATTAAACGCAGATTGCCTGAGGGGAACCACTGGTGGGTCATCTCACCCTGCGATCCTGTGTCAACAATCCAGCAGGGCTGTGAAATTCTCTACCTTCAGGAGGGTGTGTTCTGTGCTGAGAAGGAGGGGCGAGCGGGAGCCACACACAGACCTTCCTGCTACTGCCGCTGGCTCCGCTATTAGCCACTTCCACTCAGGATACATTAGGAGCAAATAAAACAGCACCCGTGGGAGAAATATCAGCCTCACTGAGGAACCCTTCCCGCTGGAGAAGAGAGCTGGTAAGATCTCTGTGACACAAGCGGACACTGGCTGGCGAGAGCCCTTGAGCCCACGAGGGCTTCTGTGCAAATGCAGATACAAGCTGGCAGTGGAGCTACCTACGGACCGTGACACGTGCGTTCGAGGGACAGCCCCAGGGGAGGGTCTGGGCATCGTCACTGCTGCTTTGACAGTGGGGACATGAGGCCTCATGAACACCAGTCTGATGACTGATGGACGGACGTGTCCCCAATTGGAAACAGGGCATTGCGACCGATCAGAGGACAGAGGGCTTCACATCCTCACAGTGACCTGGGGCCTCCAGGCAGAGGACTCTGGGTTAGTTCTCAGCCGTGTCACCCTGGAGGAACCCTTAAAACTGAAACGATTTTCTGGTTTCAGAAAATAATGAAAATACATGCTAATAATGCATGAAAATAATTCTCTCTCTGTGATGTGTGAGTTCTCCTGAGAGTGCGTGTGCATGTGTGTACGTGTTTATGTGTGTGTACACGGGCATGTTCCTTGCCACAGGAGAGCCCCATAAGGAGGCAGAAGATGGCAATCCTCCTCAGTCACCACCCAAGTCGGAGGGTCCTGAGTGGAGGCCGGGACCCTCCTCTCACCTTGTCTACAGAAATCACCACCGTGGATGACTCATGTGCCCATTAAGCACAAAACAGCCAAATATAAAACAGATGGGCGTGGTGAATGACTAAATGAGAAACTGCAAGAAAGAACAAAGGAAACTTTATGGTATAATCCGTCTATGCCACAGGCTTCATGTTTTGCGACGTTTACAACCAGCTTAGTGATGCTTCAAAATTCCGTCTTCAGAATAAAAATGGCCCTCTGATTTCCTGTTGCCCTGAGAGCTTCTAGTCCGTGTTCAGGGGTGAGGGAAGGACACAGAGGTCAGAGACAACCATCCTCCCCCAGGCCACCAGTCACGGTCATCAATGACGTCCCCTCCTGTGTCAGTGCCAGAACTGGGACAGCCTCTGCTCGCAGCCACCCCAAGGGAGTGACGTCCAGGGGAACGGCCATCGGGGCGCTGGGCCTCGTCCATGACCACGGCAGAGTGCTGAGGGTGGGCACCACTGGTTGAAATGTTCATTCATTCATTCATTCAGTGATAGGGAAGATGAGCTTTGCCCACACAAAGTAACATTGAGGTCACTGCAGAGAGAGCAGAAACGGTCAGTGAATTACTCTGGGCGACACATTCGTTGGAGCACAACTTTGTCTAAAGCAAGTTGCACGTGGGCGTCAATACCACTGGCCATCGTCCCTGCCCCTCGGGGACGCGAGCCCAGCGTCACCGAGTCTCTGTGGCTCCAGCAGGGTTCACAAGGGCGCCTTGTGGCAGCTCTCCTGTCTGGCTGCACATTGATAATCATAGGACACACTGTGTTTCTTGACATGGAGTCCTGTGTTTTCATCCAACTTCACTCAGAAAGAATAATTGGCTAAATAACATACTTTTTAAACAGAATGAAGGATTTATTCTTTGTGCACTTGGTAAATAAATTATTTCTAAGTTCATTAACAAGATGTAAGAAAATAAAACATGGATTTTAAAAAGATCTCCTCCTGCGGTGGGCAAGAGTTGTTATTTGTGGTTTATTTTGCATGGGATGGACCCTTTAAAGGACGTGTACATCCACATACACAACTGCCAGCATTTGGGGCTTTGTCAGAAATAAGTCATGCGAGGGAGTAAGTGCATTGTGTTGTCTTGGAAGAAATGAGCCCAACAGTTCAATGCCCGCAGCCGTCCCCATTCGCGTGGTCAGGACACTGGGGACCCCCACAGCGCGATATGGAGGCCGGAAGCTGAGTCTGTGCTCCTGGATCCACCCCTGGGTGCCCCTGGGAACCCTCTGGGCAGCTCTCCTCTGTGTCTGCGACGCTCTACCGCAGCGTCGCCCAGGGCTCCCCACAAGTCGGTGGCCATGCCCTCTGTGCGTCACCCCCTTCCGAGGAGGCCGAGGGTCCTTGTTACCACAGGCGTTTTTCCAGGATAACTGCCTTTCCCCTTTAAATGGGCACCTTCTGGATGACGGGGCCCTGCTCTTCCATGCAAGTGGACCGCGCACGCATGTTCTACAGAAGAACGGGACACGTGCGCCCCGACGGGCAGATGGGATTCTTGGAGCCGGCCTGGCCCCCAGGACACCCTCTCCTGATGCTCTGGCCAGGCAGCTGCCCCCGAGACCAGGTGAGATCAGGTGCCCGTTAGCACCCGTGGTGGACAGAGGGGAGAGAAGGAGTCGCAAGAGCAGCGTCTCTGCAGGACGACCTTCACTCACGGAAAACAGGGCTTTAAAGGGAGCGTGTGTGAGAACGGGAAGTCACATCACCATCAGGAGCAGCAGGCCCGTCACCTGAGAGATGTCAGCTTCCTCAGCGGATGGAAACCAAGAATGTCTCCAAGGATGCTGCTCAGACAGGAGCGTCTGAGAGGCCACATGGTAGACACCGCCCACGATGTGAAGGGACAGCAGGCATACAAAACAGAGTCCAGGAATATTTCCATAGGAGAACTTTGAAAACAAATAGTGTTATATTGTTAATACACCAACGCCTGCTGGGAGAAATCATGTGTCATCTGATGGTTGGGCCGGAAATTTGCTGTGTGTGTGTGCGTGTGAGTGCAGGGATGCACACGTATGTGCCCATGTGTATGTGGATATATGTTTGTGGCTCTGTCTGTGTGTGCAAGGATGCACACATATGTGCCTCTATGTGTGTGGGTACACGTTCATGGCTCTGTGTGTGCGTGCAAGGCTCTGCACATCTAAACGTATTAATGAGAATCATGCTGGCGCCTGGTACAACGTGTGCCATCTTTTCTGCAGGATCCCAGGTGATTGATTTTGATGGAAAAAGTTCCCTGCTCTACAGATTTGTTAAAAATACCAGCAGTTCGGCAAAAGACGTCATCTCTTTGAAATTTAAAACCATGCTGAGTGATGGGGTTCTGCTCCACAGAGAGGGAAGAGGGGGAGACAGCGTCACCCTGGCATTGGTAAAGGGGACACTCTTCCTGCTCGTCGGTTCAGGTAAGAGCACCAGGCAGGGAGCTCCACCATCTGATCGCCTGGTTATCAATGATATGGAAGTATTTTTGCACCCAGTCTTGTAGCATCATTACAGATGAAAGCCTGTCCTCACGTATCCTGTGTTTTCATGTAAAAGTGTGTTGTAATGTAATAATTGCACTGGCAGGCGATCCTTGGGGCTCTCTGTATCCTTCAGATAGAGCTACTTCACTGCATCCCAGGGTTTCTCAACCCCGGCACTACTGATGCCTTGGACCAGAGGATTCTCTGGGGGGCCGTCCAGTGCGTAGTAGGAAGTTAAGCAGCATCCCAACCCTCTACACACTAGAGGCCGGTAGCACTCACACCCCAATGTGAGCATCAAAATGTCTCCAGACATGTTCAGTGTCCCTGGGGAACAAGGTTACCCCATTGAGAACCTCTGGCCCACCCTAATATAAGTCAAGAAAGCGGTGGCCCTAATGAGTTCATAGCAAAGACAGTGTTTCCAAGGAAAACAGGCAAAAGGCCTTGATAATGAAAAGAGATGGCCAAGGATGGAGCTGGGATGGGTGAGAGGGACACATGTCCAGGGAGGGAGCTGGGATGGAGGGAGGGACACGGGGTCCAGGGAGGGAGCTGGGATGGGTGGGAAGGACATGGGGTCCAGGGTCAGCTGCAGCAGCTTGCTGAAGAGAGCTTGGTTTCTAGTGGGACCTAATGATGCCCATTCTCCTCTGCCCAGGTGACAGCTCACCCCTGTCGCCCTCTGGCCCTGGTGGTGCGCTGGGCAGCCTCCTGGATGACCAGCAGTGGCACTCAGTCCTCTTTGAGCACTCCCGCCAGCTCGTGAACCTCACGGTGGACGGGCACTCACAGCAGTTCCGGGTGTGGGGAGACCTGAGCCAGGAGGACCTGGATCCTGAGGTGCGGAGTCCCAGTCAGTTGTCACGGGGTTAATGAGGGATTTAAATGTGACTTGGGCCCAGATGCACAGAGATGCCCTTTCCTGGTAGTTGAGGTCTGGGGTAAAAGTGAGCTGTCCTTGCTGTGGAAGAGCTTTGCAGCCTGGGGCCTGCAAGGCTGATGCTCAGGGGGAGCTGAGGAAGCACACTTCAGCTTTTAACCCAAACTAGGCGGAGCTTCCTCCTGCACAGCGAACGGGACTGGTTCCTGTGCAGACCTGAGGGGCGGGTCGTGCACTCCGGGCCGGTGCATCACAACAGATTCACACGCACCGTCCTATCACTCAGTTTTTAAAAGCACCTGACATATTTCCAGCCCTTTGCACATAGATATCTAAATTGCACTAAGATATAACATTTTCATGCCATTTTTGTAAAACATTTTCAAGTTCATGAACTATCAAAAACTAAAAACTGTTTCTATGCCCTTTTGGTATAAATGGACGTGACTGATACAGAAAACGGGCACTTCTGACCCTCTTTTGCATCATCCATAATCTTATCACCCTAAACTCTCAGTGTGCCGCAAAGACAACACCATGATATTTTATAAACAGATGACTGTATATTCCAGCCAGAGGTGTATATTAACTAGAAAATCATTTTAGGTTTTTGCCCAGGTTTGGTTTTGCACGGATCCGTGGACGTAAAGGTGGGGTGTTCCCCTCATCAGGGATGTGCCACAGTCAGATCTGTCACGTTCCCAAGGAGATCAGTTAATCCAATAGTGACGTTACTGAAGGGGCGGCTGCGCAGACCAGCTCTCTGGGACACTAAAGATGTGGCCTTGGGAAAAGCAGTGAGGGGACAGGGCAGCAGGACAGGGGGGCACGTGGTGGCACGGCGGAGTCAGGCAACAACTCTCAGGGCCACTCAGCCTGGTCCTGTGGGGACTCTGGAGAGTGGGCTGAATCCCCACGTCTCCCACCTAAGGCCAGGCCACTGGTTCTCGGGCCGTGTACCTGCCAGCATTGGAGAGGGTCCATCCTGGGCGGACGCGGCTTCCCCAGCTCTGAAGGGAAAGCACAGGAAGGTGTAGGAGGGAGGAGGGATCCACACGGGGCTGGTGATGCAGGAACAGACGGGACCCGGCGGGGCTGGTGTTCTGCTCCAGGGACCCTGAGTCCTGGTCCACCTGCACCTGTCGCCCCGTCAGGAAAGTCAGCGCCCCCCTCGCCCTCAGTTTCCCGGTTGGAGGCTAACTTACGCAGCCTCCCCAGTTATGGATGAAGATGCTCTACTGTGCTGGGGAGCAGCCTCCTGTAAACTTTCAGAATCTGTGTCTTAGAATCTCATCTAAAATTAACCAGCACAGCTCCACGCAGTTATGCAGAATTGGTGTCCCTGTGACTTCCGGCTACACCTATGAGTCACAGATGTTCTCAGCAAGTTATCAGAAAATCACTGAAGAATATCATTGATGCCATTTTTCTTTCTAAGATCAGCTTTGGAGGGATTCTAGCACCTGGAAAATCAGTGACCTTTCAAAGAAAAAACTTCGACGGATGTTTAGAAAACATTAATTTTAACGGAGAGGACATCATCGATTTGGCTAAGCGGCACGGACCACAGATTCTCGTCACGGTAAGAGTCCACGCGGGGCAATCGGGCGGGAGAGGCGCCAGCTCCACTGAGGGGAGTGGGGCCTCCCTAAACGGGGCATCAGGTCAAGCATGGCGCTTATTAACCTCACAGCCTCCCCACCTGAGAAGTAGACACCGACCAAGGCACCCGTGGCTCACAGTTATTTGTTTTTATATGAGATGAAGAAACATGTGTTTGGTGAAATTCTACCACCAGGATGAAGTCTCAGCATGTGCTTCCCTGGGTGGCGATATCTTACTGTCCAGAGACCAGTTCTGTTAGCGATGAGCGTCCACCGTGAGCTGGAGCGGGTGCTGACCACCCACAGAGGGCCCGAGTCCTCGTCTTGAATGCCGAGGTGTCTGAGACCTTTGGAAGAAAGCATTTGCCGTGGGAGTTTAGACACACACCTGTTGTCGATGAGCTGTGGTGGTATTTTCTATGATTTACAGGGAGATGATAAAGATCTGAACGTGGGTGACTTTACATGAGAGGCCAAAATCCCGGACACGCCTCCTAATAGCCGGGTGATTGGGGCCAGTTGTAACCTCTCCGAGCTGTCCTGTCATTACTAGAGATTAACTAGCATTTCATTCTGGTTAGAAGGCCACTGTCATGAGTGTTAACCGAGTCCCCTCCTGAGAGGTGAACTTTGTCACAAAGGGCTGAGCCAGTGGCCTGAGGCGCAGGTGTCTTTTGGGGCCTTTGGGCATCTCCCCTGAGACACCAGGCTTTGTCCCGGCTGTTGATCGAGACGTGTGTAAAGCGAGGTCCCCTGGACTCGGGGTGAGAAACAGGCGTGGCCACGTTGCTGTCACCAGGGAGCTGGTGCAGCTGGTACGTCTGGGGGCGGATGGGGGCAGAGGCTGGAGAGCGCTGGGGGTGCTCATGCTGGTCAGCATCAGGCAGATGCCATCCTGGCTGAAGGCAGGATGCTGGTCTGGGAGGGGCCCCAGGGGGACACCTGGGTGACAGCACAGCCCCCACCCAGGGCCCCGGCCGCTGTGATGGGCAGTGGAGCCTCCTCAGATCTCCTCTCCTTCGTTCTCAGGGGACCATCTCCTTCTCCTGCTCTCGGCCACAGCCCGTGCCCGTCACCTTTCTGAGCGCCGGGAGCCACCTGGAGCTGCCAGGCACCCTGGGGCAGGACGGGGCCACCGTCAGCTTCCAGTTCCGGACATGGAACAGCGCGGGCCTCCTGCTGTCCAGCCGGCCCCATCAAGGCTCCGGGGGGCTCGTTCTCGCTCTCCGTGATGGGACCCTCAGGCTGGGTCTGTCCTCATCTCCAGGACAAGCCCAGAGTGACGTCACTGCAGGTAATGCCGCCCCCAGTCGCAGCCCACACGGCGCGTCCCAGAACCCACAGAATGTTTCCCACAAAGTGTACGAGTTTTCAAAACGGTTCCTCACGTCCCTAAGACACGCCGTCCCCACGTCCAGATAGCTGAGTCCTGTCCTCGAACACCGGCTCCTTGTTTATAGTCACGTAAAACCAGCTTAGTGCCCAAAGTGGCCTGAACAGGGACGCCCGGCCTGCCTGTCCCCCAGACCGGCCACCGGGGGAGGGGTCGCCTGAGGAAGCCCCTCCTCACCCCGCTTCCTGACCCCCTGCTCCGTCCCTTCCCCCAGTAGCACTTCACAACCAGACACCACGGCTCACATCGCCTTTTCCACATCTGGCAACTTCTGGTGTGTTTGCTCTGCCATAAGATGTGACAGCAAGTGACACTGTTCTTGGTCTTTGGTGACGAGGGTGACAGCATCACAGCTCAGCCCGTGTTAGCCGTGGAGCCGTGTCCACACCGTCTGGCTGGAGAACTCAGCCTCCTGAGCCCAGTGGTTCGTCTGTAAATGGCGCCTGAGCTCCACGTGGCTGTCACAGTCGGAGGAAATGTCACCTTCCAGGGAAGACACCCTCCTTTCTCTTAGTCTCCACTCCCACTGTCCAGTAAGGAGCTATTTGTGTTGGACAAAAGCTCTGATAAGGCTTCTGAGATGCAGGCTAACGTTCTTAGTTACAGTAAGTGACGGCTGGTCGTTTTTGGATGGAGAACAGGAGGGAGAGGAGAGAACGTAGGGCTGTGGGCGTGTTCTGCTCCTGGGGTTTGCAAGTTGGCATCAGGTCTGGGTGTCACCAGGGCAAAGGGGAGGAGGGAAGAGGGGGCACATTGACCGCACAGCAGCCAAACCACAGCCAGGGCTGTGGGGGCCCCGCTGAGGGGGTCACACTCTCAGAAAGCAGCGCCCTGGAGACCCGAGATCCGATCCGAGCATGGTGATGGCGGGGACCATGAAAGCACGGCCCTGAAACCAGTGAGGAAGGCTGTCAGGAGCCCCTCCAGGGGTGAAATGGCCCAGCCAGTCTGGCTCCCTTCTGCAGGCTCTGGGACCTGGGCGTCTCCATTTGGGAGAGGCTCTGCAGAGGGAAGCCAGTGTTCAGAGAGGCTCACACTGCACAGGGCAACCTCAGTGCCTTCTCCACGAGCTCTTCTGTCACACAACTTACCGCTGAGCGCTCTGTCTGGGGAGGAATGCCCTTCCTAGGACCTGGGAGTGCTGGCCGCCTGGGGACTTGCCACCACGTTTGAGCACCACCGTGTCATTTGCATGGTCAGAAATGATGTCACTAAAGGGTCTCTGATGGGGTCCTGCACATGACGTCCACTCCAGGGGGCTGCATCTGGTGAGGACGCACCCATGTCCATGTGGGATGCAGGGTTCTTGACCAGGGAGCTGTGTCAGGTCTTCGCTGGTTTAGAGCAACGTTGAGCCCCGTCTAATCATTGACCTCTGATGTTTAAGTGACTGGAAGTGGACCAAGTCTTTCTCTGTCAGGGAATCTCTGCCAAGAGCAATAAAATTTGAAGCTAAACACAAAGAAGGACAGGCACCCGCATTTCCATACATAGCCCTGCAACGTAGTTCTGTTTCGCTTCACCCATCACTGGAAATGTGGGAGCTCCCAGACTCTGTCCCTTCACTGTCTTTAAAGGGCTGTCCTTTGGCCTCTCATGAATGCTCACAACGGGGTCAGTCTACAGAAGTAGGTGCACAAAACAGAAGGAAAGCACACTCAGGATCTTGACAACGGGCTGGCTTTGGAGACTAGCGTCAGAGCAAAGTTAATTTATAGCCAGTGTGCTATTCTCATGCATTTTACAGTGATGAACCTGCTGTGCTCTCGAGAGGTTTCAGTCATGCCCTGGCTGTGAACGTCTAGTAGAAGTTGAGCCAGGAGCTGGCTCTGTGGCGTATGGTTAATGTTCACGTGCTCTGCTTTGGCAGCCCGGGGTTCACTGGTTCAGATCCTGGGCACGGACCTACACACCGCTCATCAAGCCATGCTGTAGCAGCGTCCCACATAGAAGAACCAGGAGGACATACAGCTAGGATATACAACTATGTATTATGGGGCTTTGGGGAGAAGAAAAAAAAAGAGGAAGGTTGGCAACAGATGTTAGCTCAGGGCTAATCTTCCTCACCCAAAAAAAAAGTATACTTAAGAAAAAAAGTTGCTCTGGCGCAATGTTACTTTAATGAGCACCATGAAGCCAGTGTAATTTTTAACCCATCAACTGGTATGAATATTTGAAAAGTTGCTAGGAATAAAATTACACGTGATAATTGATTTTCAAATCTTTATATTCATGTTTATATCCAACACAAGACTCAGTCATGGCTTCTGGGGGGGCACCCCTGAGCTGGTCCCCAGGGATCCTGCCTCCTGAGGTTCACGGCCCGCATAGTCCTCTCCCTACAGGATGAGCTGGATCCAGTGTTTTGCTACCAAAGAACAGAATGTGATGAAAGTGATGGCTGTCACTTCTTTGATCAGGACACGGAGTGATGATGCCTCCATCTTGGATGTTCCTCTCGTGCCCTCTGAGGGAGGCCAGCAGCCATGCTGGGTCTCCCCGTGGAGGCCCCCATGGTGAGGGACCGAGGGCAGCCGCCAGCCAATGTCCACCAGGGAATAGAGACCCTCAGCCGACAGTCCACGGGGAACTGATTCCTGCTGACAACCAGGAGAGTGAGGGTGGAGTGGACCCTGCCCGGCTGAGCTGTCAGATGAGACGGTGCCCCAGCCACACCCTGCGGGGACCTCATGCAAAACTGTGACCCAGAGGCAGCAGCTGAGCGCCCCCAGATTCCTGACTGGAGAAGCTGTGGAGTTGGGGGGCAGGTGCTCTGCAGTGACAGGTGTGGACACAACATCAAAGCGTTAGTGTGATCGTGGTCATCGCTACTGTGACACAGATTATCCGTGAGTGTAAAAGCAGAACAAACACGTTTACATGGGATAAAATACTTTTGCTCTCTGCTTAAGACGACCTTTTCCCACCAATTCCCACTTTTCGTTTTTCCTGTTTCTTCTGATATTTTTATTGATTACTAGATTTAGTGAAGCAAGTGAATTTTGTAGTTGAAGATTAAAGGATTAAAGGATTAAATGATCTATAGATGACTTGACAATTTTCTTCCACTTAGGCAAAGATCTCTGACCTGCAGTTCACGTGACCGACGTTTGATCATCAAGGTAGCAATTCAAGCAGAGCAGTGAGAATTCAGTATAGTGGTCCTTTAATGAGAACAATGTGTTTATTTATTAATTATAATAAATTAAATAACTAAGAAATCATGTTAAATTTCTATTAAATCAGAGTGGCTTTTTTCTCAGCTATTAACATTTGAATTGGAATCTGATATGTGTTAAGATTCTGACATGGATTCAAAGCTGAATTGTGTTGAGCATGGAGCAAAATTGAGTCACAATTTGCATAAATGTTTGAATTATAGGGTAAAGTTTTCAACATAGTCGCCAGCTTTGAAAATTTTCATTTAAAATTTTTAAGAAATATTACTCCAGCCAACTAGAGCTCAAAAATAATTCTGTATGCCACAGAATGCCTTGTAGATCTTTGCCACCCTTGTGCGTGTCAAACCACAAGAACTTCAGACGCGGCGGGGAACGAAGAGGACCCACAACGTGACAGCGTGTGATTCCATGTTTCCTGGGTTGCGAACAGCGCCTTTTCCAGCTGGCCTCACGCTCGCTCAGGGCTGCAGACGCTGCCAGTCCCGGGGGATAACTCACCTGTGTTTTGGTTGACAGAGCCTTTTCTTTTCTTTTCTGTTTTTCTTTTGAAGCAGTAGCCAACATTTAAAAATCAGGAGATTTGACAGCAAAGTCCTGATGCCTGGTTTCCTATGAGATTTGGGGGATCTGGTAGCACTGAGGAGTGAGGCTGCCTGTAGGCAGCACCCCCCTCTGCTCCCCAGAGCTACATGGCTGTGCATCGTCGCACCCACACTCAGGCCCTGCCCTGTCCCCAGGCCTGTTGATGGGGACGAGGGGGGCCTTTGGCCAATGGGGAGAATCAGGGCTGTGAGCACGTTTGTCAGGAGCAGCAGCCAGAGGTGCTGAAACATCTGCCACGCACCTGCCTGGTGCCCTGGAACAGCCCCCACCCAGGGGACGCCCCCTCAGCCCTCTCCTGCTCCCTGGGCCTGGCACCGCCTCACCTCCCCTCGGCCCCTCCCTACACACAACCCTGCTCCCTGCTGGAGCGTCAGGATCCACAGCCCCCCACGTGGCAGTTACGTCTGACGAGAGCGGCCTGGACGCGCCATGTCCAGCGGTCCAGGGTGGAGTGTCTGGCCCTGTGTCAGAAGGTGCTGAAGAGCAGAGCCGGATGCAGCCCTTGTGCGTCTGCAAATGTGTTTGCTTCCACACGTTGGAACATCGGAGGTTCCCTCTGACACGGCCCAGCGCGCGGTGGTCTGGCTGTCACAGTGGTCACTGTAGAGACTCAGATCCTCATCCGAAGTTTGTGAAGCAGGAGCAGATGGCATGAAGCTTTCTTGCATTCATCCTGGAATTTGGGGAGGAGCTGCTCTTCTGAATGTCCCCCCAAAAGTTAAATTACACAGATGGGAGCGGGAAGGCAGCCTGGGCCAGGCAATGGGCACTTTTAGACCCTGGGGGCTGTCCGGCCGCACCGGGGGTGGAGGGGACCCCGCACCCTCGCCCTCTGCACGGATGGGGAGCTCCTCCACCCTCCCTTCCTTTGGGCTCCTGCACGTGCTGGGCTCACTATTCACATGACTGTTTTCAGCACGATGGGGGGCCAGGCAGTGCGTCTCTACCTGACTTTAACCTCCCCAGGGGTCGGACTGAACGACGGGCAGTGGCATTCGGTCTCCCTGACGGTGAAGAGGAATCAGCTCAGGGTGACCCTGGACCACGACGGGGCCGCCAGCATCCATGCCACGCTGCCTGTGGGGACCGGCGCAGGGGACACCTACCGCTTTGGAGGTGAGTGGGGGGCCGGGACACCTCTGCCATTGACCCGAAGATCACGTGCCCTGCTCCCACTGGGGCAGCCGTGGCATTTTCCTAATAAATCATGTGTGGCTGGTTCCCCAAGATTCCAGCAGACGTGAGGAACTTTACTCTTTTCTCAGCTGCTTTATGGAGGTAAAATTTACATTAAAACGTTCAAGTCTCTTTATCCTCAGGATCCCGTTCATCCAGTCGTGTTTATTAGCAGCTTACTGCTGAGTCATTCACCTTCCTGTATGCGGCATCCCGGATTCAGAGAGGCCCTGCGTCCGTGTGTCCGTCTTCCTCCCCTCGCTCTTCCCCTGCTGTGGGCTCACCGCAGTGTCCAGGCGCCACTCTCGGGTCAAGGAAATAGTCTGTGAGTCTTCTCTGCACACGGCAGAGCATGTCAGGCTGGCTCCCAAGGGTGGCCAGCAGGGTGGCTGGTCTGTTCTGGCCCCGCGCTGCTCTCAAGCCGGCTGCTTAGGAAACAGAGCAGCCCGCCCCCACGTTGGAATTCTGCTGGTGCTGGTTCCCTTCACTTTTCTCCCCCAGCCCGAGCTCCCCGTGTGGGGTGTGCTCCAGCAGCTGCATGGTCCGCTGGCACAACTTCCTGCGTCCATCCCGTCAGGCCCATCTATGGCTGCCTGGCGTCCACCCCCTTCCTCCAGTGGAGTCTCTGTGCTGTTCCGTTTCACACTGTGTGTGGCTTTGGGTGGACGCCAGGCTGGGGGCACCACATCCTCCTCCGCTGCCCCCTCAGCTGGGGGAACCTGGTGCAAAGACACAGGCAACAAGCCACCTGCCGCCTCCGGCGGGGCCGGCCAGCTGCTCCCCGGCAGTGCCGCATAAGCTCCTGTCAATCAGGATTAGTTTTCTTCAGAAATGTTTCTATTCAGAGCCTCCACCAAGGGGCTCGGCTGGACCCCTGCTCCTTGCCCCTGCCTCTGATCACAGGGCAGCAAGCTGAGCGGCACCTTGCGTGTGTCTTGGCGTCCTTCTTTGTCGAGGCCCTCGGCCAGGTGCATGCGGAGTTTCTCTGTGTGGCTGGTCTCCATGGCTGCTATGGCCTCTGCTGTCAAAGCTTCAGCATCTGTCTTGTTCTGGAAGCGTTAAAGGATACGTTTCATGAGAAAGGGAGATCAGCAGAACTGTTAGTATTTCAAGAAGATAACGGTTGCCCCCCATTTTCTCCACACTAATATCCTCTAGCCCTAACATATTAAATGGCGGAAAGTGGAGCAGACTCGCGTGCAGAGATGCACCGAGGACTGTGGCCCGTCAGCCTCAGCGGATGCCTCGCTACTCGAGCTGCGTGTGTCACCCTTAAAATAGGAAAATGTGAAGGAAGCTGACCAGATCCTTGTGCTGTGACTTCGCATTTCCCCTGGGGCTGGAATGGAGCCTCTCGCTGTGCTTCCCAGGGGCTGGAAACACACCTGTATTTGTCATGTAAATGTAGCTTATGGGGAAGAGAAAGTACTGGAGGGTTATGACTGTTTTTGAAGCTTAACTGGACACATAACTATCACGGACACTACGAGGCAGGAAGCCTACGAGGCTGGTGCAAGAGTTAAAATGCTCAGTGATTCTCACTCTGTTTAGTGACATTTATGACTATTTAACTTAGGGCCACAGGGAGTTATTTTTAAAAAAATGACACATAAATTTGGTGGGTGAAGTCTATACTTAAAATAACATGTCAACTTGTTAAAATAACTTAAAATGATCATAACACCTCAAATCTAACATTATAAATAGTAATATAATTTGATAAGTTCTCATATTTAAATAACTGGAAGATTTTCTAAGTTTAAAAACAATTGTTAAATAATTTTTCTTGGTAATTCGGGAAAAATGATGCTCCAGGCGTGGAGATTAATGAGGCATCACTTTAGGAGGTAAGGAAAAAGTGGAGTAAAAGTAAGTCTCAAATCAAAAGAGCACGGGAGGGTTTGGCGTTAAATGATATGAATGCTTAAAACGGGTGCCCACGTGTGCTGTTTGCACAGGAAAATTTAATGTTAATTGAGCGCATGCTGGATCTGCCCGCACAGTGACATCAACCACCGAACGCCACCCTGTCCCCACCCTGCACTGAGGGGCCTGGTTACACATTCCTGGTGCAGCAGCTCCCACATCCGTGTGGCGGGACTCGGGGCAGCGGGGGGCACAGATGGGCCTCCACGTGATGCTGGGGTGCTGGAGCTCATGGTGGCTGGGAGAGGAGAGGCCCCTGAGTGGCCCCAGGACGGCCTGGGAGCCCTTGAGGGTCGCGGCTGTGACTGAAGGAACAGGGATGCCTGACGCCGGAAATTATCAAATGCCGGTTTCTTCTCTCATCCACATCCTTCAGGATGATGTTTTGGATGCTGTGCTTGCTCTCCTGTAGATGGTTATTTTCAGGATATTAAGATGACACTGTAGACATTTAATTTTTGATTCTGTGTTTGACAAAATCGCCTGATACAAATCTGAGTGCTATAAAATACAGATATATTTTCCTTAGTTTGCTAAGCGAGTCTTTAGGATCCGCACTTGAACCAGCCTGTGGGCGTGTGCACTCCACACACGGGCCTCGCGTGGTTTCTGGATGAGTGCAAGGTGCCTGGTCACCTTCTGACTTAATACCGTTTTTCAAACACCGTAATTTCAGCAATGTCTACATATAATAAAATGATCTGTTATTTCATTTACAATTTTAAATCAATGTACATTTAAATTTTTCTCGCGTACGATGCGTGATGCTAAAAGGAGTTAGATCTTTCTAGCGTGCTTCAGAAGGGGATCCTGATTTGAGTTCAGTCAGAATCTTAGATCCTAACGTGCCTTCGTCTCTTTGATGTTCCCGACCCCAGTGTTAGTTCACACCCGCCCACCTCACTTTCGCTCTCCACCCTCCCGAATGAGCAGAAAGGACTTCTCCTCCAGAGGAAGGAGCCTCTGAGTGCCAGGCGTCCTTGAACGGAGTGGATACAGTCAGCTTCATGTCCTGACGCTCTCTTTCTCTTTTTCCTGCGTCTGAACATGTAGGCTGCCTCCGCCCCGGCTCCGGGCCTGAATGTGAGGGGTCTCTCGGCGGATTCCAGGGCTGTCTGAGACTCGTCTCCATTAATGCCCAAGAGGTGGACCTGATTTCAGTGCAGCAGGGGGCGCTCGGGAATTTCAGCCACCTGCAGATAGACGCCTGCGGCATCCTGGACAGGTGAGGTTGGTTCCCCGACTCCCACACTCGAGATGGGAGGGAGGGCCAGAGAAGAGATGCAGTGGGAGACGGCCCCTGTCTCTCTCTCTGTCTCTGTCTCTCTCTCCCTTTCTCTCCCCACCACTCCTGCTGTTCATAGCAAGTAAGATAGTTATATTTCCCATGGAAAGTTAAGAAAATTGCATCTATAATTGTATAAAGCAGCTTCTTTCAAATGACAGCATCTGGGCAGAAGGCACATGCTCCTGAATGCTGTTCCTGTGTGCCCACCAGCTCCTTCATCCAGAGCAAACACGGCTGATGTGGCCGCAATTGCCCGTGGGTGGAAATAGGTGAATAATGTGTCATGGAACAAAACAGATGGTGATCATCAAATGCAGGAAACCAGGGGCCCCTGTGGTCAGGGCTCTGTTCCCACTGCCACCCCGCTGGGTTGGGTGGCCTTGAGAGTGGGACACCCGAGCCTCGTCCCAAGTTCCCCAGGACAGCAAAGGCTGGCCCTGCCTGAGGGGACAGGCTGGGTTAGTGCTGGGGAAGGAATGAGGGTGATGGCGGCGGAGCTGGGTGGAGCGCAGCTCACGATGGAGGAGAAGAGAAGTGACGCGACAAGAAGGAACTCCTGTGTCCCCAGGGCGGGAAAGCCAGGCTCTATAAACAGAATGTCTCTTCATTCATTCATTTTGCCTGGGGAACATCAGAATTCTTGTTTCTGTGGGTTTCCAACTTTTATCAAATTTGGAGAAGTTTAGGCCACGATGTATTCAATTGTTTCTTCTTTTACCCCGTTTCCTCCTTCAGGAACTTTAAACACACGTCCAGCTCTCCACGTGGAGCCGTCCCTACAGCCCACGGGCCCCGTGGTTCATGAAGAGACGTCACGTTCTCTGATCTTTTCTGCAGCCTCTAGTCATCTGTGAATTCCATTCAGCATATTTTCATGTCAACACTGTGCTTTCACGTCTAGAAACTCAGTCGATGCCTTTTTTATATCTTCCAGTCTCCGCTTACAGTTGTTAATTTACAGGAACCGCCTGTCTGCTGAGGGGGACCTGTCAGCTCTGGGCCGTTGTTGGTTATTTTTCCCCGGTTTTGGCTGCGTTCTGCTTCTTTGCAAGCTGGTGACGATCCATGGCGGCCACGCATTTGGATCCTGCCCTTTCTGTTGTGCAGTCTGTGTTCCCATGGGAGTTCCTGTCTCACTTCTCAGTGGTGAGGGTCTGGGGCTGAACAGCACAGGGTCTCGGGGTGGCCGTTTTCCAGGCGGAGGCAAGACCACCCTGAGTGGCCTCCGGGTGGTGGGGGCGTCCTCTTGGTTGGTGGACAGGCACCCCCAGCCCTGTGTCAGCTCTGGCTACTGTCCCTTCACTCTCACTGGTCGTGGGTGGTTTCCTCACACCACACGAGGACCAGGACTCTACCGACGGCCCAGGGCCCCCTCAGACCCCTGAGCAGCCCCGTCCTCTCCAATCACCCATCCTGTCACACGAGCTGCCTCGGTCGCCCTCAGCCCTCAGCTCCGTCTCCTCACCTGGGGGGTCCTGTGGCTCTGTGGGGTGCCCGCCCTTCCTTCCTCACCACCTGGAGAGGCCCCGGGACAACCACATGACGTATCGTGTTTGCTTTCCATCTCGTAGCAGTTACCATCCGCCCTTGCCTCACGGCCAGTGTCTCAGAAACAAGCTGTCATTTCACATGTTTCATCCTTTTCGCGTGTTTGTTGCAGGCGGGGTGTAAATCCCGTCCCTGTCGTTCTGTCTTGGTCACTGCTGGCAACTCTGACGTATCGACGTCCACTCTTGGTCTGTGTCCACTCTCCACGACTGAACTGAGCACACTTCCACCCCCTGGCCGACTCTGACACTTCAAATATTTAAACATTTGTGACTTTATATGATTTTCTGAACACTCCTTTTTCCAGGTTAAAATTCTCTAGTTCTTAACCGTTTCTCAAATGTCGTGTTTGAGGAACTGCCCAGACCCCAGGTGCCCTCCGCTTAGTGGAAATGTATGGTCCACACGCCCCCTGCTGCCTCTCGCACCCAGGGCCCCACTGTCCTCGCCAGGGCAGCAGTCACACAGCAGCCCACAGAGGGCCCTCCTCCCTGTGCGTGCAGAGTCCACATCTCCACTCGTGTCAACTTGTGCTCCACTGAAAGCCCAGATCCAGGACCCTGGAGAGGAGTGAGACTCATGCTTGTTTGACACACTCACACACTCACCCAGTGCTCACACACACACTAACATGCATGCTCACACTCACTTATCCACAGCCCACACATTCTCACATACACTTGCACACATACACAACACTCACACACGTACTCACACACTCACCCAGTGCTCACACACTTACACACTAACAGACATGCTCACACTCACTCACTCAGTGCTCACACACTTAAACACTAACAGACATGCTCACACTCACTCATCCAGTGCCCACACACTCACACGTACACTTGCACACATATACAACACTCACATTCACTCACTCACCCAGTGCTCACACATTCACACTTGCACACATATGCATAACACACACACAAACACTCACACACACCAACACAGAGCGTGTGGCCTTCCTTCCTGTGTCTGGTGGCACATGTGGGGAAGTCAGGCAGCTCCTTCGGGGTCAGAGGGACTCGGGTGGGGGAGGGACAGCAGCTGCTGGCCCAGAATGGGGGCGGGTGCGCTCGGCCCTGGTCTCTGAGAGGAGGAGGGAGCAGCAGAGAAAGACAGCCTCTGTTTCCAGGAAGTCTGATTCCAGCTTCTCGATTGGAGACTTTGAATGGAGAGAACGGGTGTGAACTGTGCTCTCTCACACCACATGCCCTGTGGCTAGTGGCTCGGTTTACCTGGACTAGTTCACACAGGAGGAAAGTCATGAGGAGACGCCTCGGGCAAAGGGGGGCGGGCAAGGTGCGCTCTGCACAGGAGGGCGTGGGTGGAGGGGTCTAAGGCCCCGGGCCACCGGGCAGAGTGTCATCAGGAGTCACAGCCCACGGGGACCACCTTGAAAAGAATGAACACGTGAACGCTTTCTCCTTCGGTTCACAACACTGAAACTCCCAATTCCAACGCAAAAATAGGAAAAGTGGATTCAGCCAATGGATGGTGAAATGCAGGTCAATGAGAGAATAGCACACGTACCACAGAGTGAGAGCCTCTGTCTCTAGTTTCTACATGGAGTGACTTAGCTCTTCACACGCTGACCTGATTTTCTCTGGAGTCTGCCCAAAACCACCACCACCGCCACCCAGGTCTGCCGTTTGTGAATCTGATCAATCGCTAGTGTTACTGCTTTTCTGTTGACCTCAGTTGTTTATGGACTCTCTTCATCATACAGGTTTCTATTAAATTTGGATCTATACCTTTTTAAATAAACTACGGTAACTATGTAATGGGTTTCTTTGAGGGATAAAATGTGCTGAAACAGGCCAGCAGTTAAGTGCGCACATTCCACTTCGGCAGCCCAGGGTTCGCCGGTTCGGATCCTGGGTGCAGGTCTACACACTACTTGTCAAGCCATGCTGTGGCAGGCATCCCACATATAAAGTGGAGGAAGATGGGCATGGATGTTAGCTCAGGGCCAGTCTTCCTCAGCAAAAAGAGGAGGATTGGCAGCAGATGTTAGCTCAGGGCTAATCTTCCTGGAAATAAATAAGTGCTAAAACAAATATAAATTGGTTACTTGGAAATTCTCATGGCACATTAATGAATCATTGATAAGAAATTTGCAAAATATCATGTGGTTACATTTTTATATGCTTAGATATAAACATATGCACATGCATAACTATAATACTTATTTTATAGGCTGGGATTTCAAATCATTTTGACTTTCTTTTTTGTGTTCTGATAGATTGTTTGAATATTTGATAATGAGCATTTACTTTCTATCTTTGATAAAATCAATTATACTATGACCAATTAAAATGTGCAAGTCCTGGAAGTGGAATTTCAAGGGTCCCCTTCTTAATTTTAATTGAGAAGATGACAAAATATCCATCCTGCGTAGACGGTTATTGGGTTTTCCTGCTTATTTTCTGATTTATTTGTTTTTCTTGGGCAAACATAATGCATGTAAAATTTTGGTCCCAGCTGGCCTTTTATTCCAAATTCCAAATGGAAAAAGAATCAGAAGGATATGCTCTCTGTGCCCTCTTTCAGGTGTCTGCCCAACTACTGCGAGCACGGTGGCAGGTGCTCCCAGACCTGGACAGCCTTCCACTGTGACTGCACCAGCACCGGCTACGCGGGCGCCACGTGCCACCACCGTAAGCATGCCCACCCTGCTTCCTGTTGCCTCCGGGCTCCCCTCTGTCCTCCTCCTTAGGACAGGTAAACGTGCCTCTTTCTCTGCAGCCACAATAAACACACGTGTGTTTCCGCATCCAGTGGAAGGCTAGGTTGCTCATTTAAAGCCGCTTAGAGAAACATGAAAATTGATGGGAAAGAAGAAGATAGCAGAAAAGGGGAAAATAGACCGAGAAAATCGATTATAATCAAAGAGAAACATGAAAGGAATTCAAGCCGAATATCCTCTCGGGTTTGGTTTCTTGAGTTGGGTCCCGGGTTTGCTTTGAGCTTCCCGGCAGCACCATCTGATGGAAAGATGGTTGTTACTAGATCATCAGTGTTGGTAGAATTAGACAGAGTCCCAGGAGAATGTGGGCAGCAGCTCCTCGCATGCCGTAGGGGTTCAGATTTCAGAGAGAGCCCTGTGGACCCTGATGCCCTTCGACAATGATGGTGATAATTGTTAGTGTGACTTACGGGCATCTCAGACGTCAGGCCTGGTCTCCTGACCCGTGTGTGTTGCCTAATCCTGTCCATGCAGCAGATGCTACTAAAATCCTATTTTCCAGTGGGGAGCCTGAGCTGGTTCCGTAACCGCCCGGCCGTTCTTCACCTGATGTGGGGTTTCTCAGCCTCGGCACCACTGACGTTTGGAGCCGGTGGCTCTCTGTTGTGAGGCCGTCTGTGATCGCAGGATGATTAGCAGGGTACTGGCCTCCACCCACGGGACTCCAGTGGCACAAAATGGCCCCAGTGGAGGACCCCTGCCGGCGAGATGCTCTGCGCTTCGTACTTAATTTAGCCCAGATGAGATTGCCTGAAGGACGGCAGTGCAGGGGTCGCCATGAGGCGCTTTCTTACGGTGGGGCCTGCGTTTCCGTCTCAGGTCTTAAAGTCTCGTTCTCAAGGAGGAGATGAAACCAGACCTGGGCCCCAGGCTGGGGTCTCACAAAGAAGCTTGGGAGGAGGGGAGGGGTGATCAGGAGGGGCTTAGCTCACCCACCGTCAGCCCTGCTTCTCCGCGTTGCCTGTGGGAGAGCTGGCTGAGGAAGCACCTGCTGACCAGTCCCCATTTACACGGAGGCGGTCGTGGAACTGGGCCCAGGGCCTGACCCGGGAGGAGGGGCCCCCATAGGCCGCATCCTCTCCTGTGTTATTTGTTCCCCGTCGTGCCCGGCACAGAATCCTACACAGAGCAGATGCCGCTTGAATGTGCTCTGATGCATTGATTTTCTTGTTTAACTGTAAGGAGCAACTTTAAACGCAGGAGCTCTGAGAAAACAGTCGTAAGATAAGTGGATGGATTTTCCATCTGAGCCGCTTGACCTGCCAATGGGCTTGACTGTGGTTCCTCACAGGTAGAGCAGAGGGGGATGACATTGGCCAACCCACAGTGACGCCCCGGGGAGGCCGTTCTGAGAGGTGAGGCCAGGCAGAGAGACCCAAACTGACCCGTTACAGCCTCTTTTCTTGATGGGACTGAGAGAAGGGATGAGGAGTGAGACAGACGCAGAAAGAGTCAGGTTTCCCTATTCAAGGGCGTGAGCCGGCAGAGAAAGATGGCGCACTGTGCGTGACGCGAGGCCTCCGAGCAGACACTCGTCATGTTTCCTGGTGATGTCACAGTGAACCAGATCTACCACTGGACTGAGTGATTTTATTTGCCATTAGGTATTTAAAAGTGTTATAAAAATGCTCGCAGGGCCGGCCCTGTGGCTGAGTGGTTGAAGTCCCACATGCTTCGCTTCGGCAGCCCGGGGTTTGTAGTTCAGATCCCGGGCACAGACCTACTCCACTCATCAGCCATGCTGTGGAGGTGTCCCACATACAAAATAGAGGAAGATAGCACAGATGTTAGCTCAGAAACAATTTTCCTCAGGGAAAAAGAAAAGAGGAACATTGGTAATGGATGTTAGCTCAGGGTGAATCTTCCTCACCCAAAAAAAAAAAATTGCAACATTCTTTTCTTCTACTTAATTAAATGGAACCGTATACATTACTTTAAAAAATAGTTTTGTATTTGAAGATATGGTCACATTATCTCCTGGAGGGTAAAAATTTACCACAATGCAGAACTTGGAATTTTCCTCCCCTCCTAATTAAAAACGTTAAGGTCCTCATTCCGTTTCATTTCCGGTGGATGACTTCCTGATGTCCCCAGCCCTCTACGAGCAGTCCTGTGAGGCCCACAGGCACAAGGGCAGCCCCTCCGGGCTGTACCACCTCGACCCGGATGGCAGCGGGCCCCTGGAGCCATTCCCGGCATTCTGTAACATAACAGGTGAGTTCTAGTTTTGACTTACAAGTTAGACTTGAAGACTCTTGTTGAACACAAAATCACAGCCCATCCAGTAGAAATCTACCTGGTCAGCAGCTTTATTAGAAGAATCTTCAATAGTAGGTCATTATTCAATAAAGGTGTTTGATACAAATTTAAAAAAAATAGTTCACAAGTGAAAATTTGTGGAATATTTAGAATTAAAATTTTGACCATCAAATCCTAAGACAAAAAGTTTCAAGACTTATCTGATTGGATTAACGGATGTTAAAGTTAAAGGAAATTTCACTTTTTTAAAATAAAACTTGCATATATTGAAGCAATCAGCACAATGACTTGACACGCATATATGCACATGGCATGTCTGCTGTAGGAGAGATGCACAGGGAGATGACGGCTGCAGTCAGGCAATTAGCGTCTCATCCCCTCAAGAGCTGCTTGTAAATGAGGGTGAACATATAGCCCGTTTGCCCTGAGCTCCAAATTCCTGCCCAGATACAAGGCGTCTAACCTACGATTGCTGTATCTGCTCCTGTAACAGCGGCCACATCGCTGCATCTTGTCCCCACTGGAGTCCGTGCCTGCAGCCTGCCTCCCCCACCCCACGCTGACCGAACCCCTCCCCACCCAGGGGGGCTGCCTTCCGTGATGCTGGAGTCCACGCCTGCCTCCCCCACCTCACGCTGACCTAACCCCCACCACCCCCAACCCAGGTGGGCCGCTGTCCATGGTGCTGTTTCTCCATCGCAGCCTGTGACAGTGACAGGTGACTCAGCTGCAGTCTCTGGATGGAATTGCTCCTTCTTTAAATTTTCCACTCTGCTAAGTTTCAGCACAACAGAAACAGCACAAAGTAAAGCAGGGCGCATATGGATGGTAATTCAGATTTTGAGTGTCTCCCCGTGCCCTAGGTTGGATGGTGTACCCCCAAAATTCATGCCTACCTGGAACCTGTGAGTGGGATCGTATTTGCAAATAAGGTCTTTGCACATGCCATCAAGTTGAGGCAAGGTCCTGGTGGACTAGGGTTGGTCCTGGATGCAAAGGCTGGCATCCCCATGAGGAGAGGGAGGTTTGGAGACACAGGCACACCTGAGGGACGTGGGCCATGTGATCATAGGGGCAGAGGTTGGAGTGAGGTGGCTACAATCAAAGATCACCCAGGGTCCTGGCCACCACCAGAAGCTACAAGAGGCAAAGAAGGACCCTCCCCTCCAGCCTTCAGAGGGAGCTCGGCCCTGCAACCCCTGGGTTCCAATTCTGGCCCCAGACCCATGGGCAAATCAATTCCCGTGTTTGAGTGCCTGATCTGTGGTTCTCTGTTACACCAGCCCTAGGAATCAGAGATACCTGGTTAGAAATGCAAATTCCCTGATAAGAATCATTTGTGGGTAGGCTTTTTTGTTTGGATGACTTTTGAGTGGCTTGAAAACCATCCTCGGGAAATTTTGGATTTTTGTCTCCTCAATACTCAAGTTAAAATCTGCCTTTGCCTTTATTCGATGGGTTTGCCCAGGTGGGTCAGGCAGGTCTTCTGGCCAAGGACATAGACGGAGCTGGAGGATTTGGGGCAGCGGGCACAGAATGGCTTTCAACATCAAAGCCAGGAGAGCCGCAAGGTGGACACAGGCTCCCCTGTGGGGACAGCTCGGGCCCAGAGCAGAGGGCAGAGAAATCCCAGGGAGGTTTTGTGCGGGGCGTCTCGGTTCAGGGTAAACACACCCTCCTCCTCATTTCCTTCCTGAGAACTCGAGCGCCTGCCTGGTGCCCGGCACCTCTGATGTCCATGTATACCGAGGGTACGTCCTTGCTCTGGAACATTCTTCCAAGGTCACAGCAACGTGCTGGAGAGACCCCGTCCTGGTTCATCTGCCCAGAGTGTCCCGCTGTGGGTCCAGGCACCAGACTTTCAGACGATGTGATGGTGTGTCTGAGAAATGACTGTCCTGTGAATAAGAAAAAAAAATGAAGGAGCCGGCCCTGTGGCCTAGTGGTTATGTTCAGTGCACTCCGCTTCAGCAGCCTGGGTTCCGTTCCCAGGCACAGACCTACGCTGCTCTGTTAGCAGCTGTACTGTAGCCGCAATCCACATACGAAATAGGGGAAGATCGGCACAGGTGTTAGCTGAGGGCAAATCTTCCTCAGCAAAAAAAATAAAAGAGGGATTGCAATGCTCTAGAAGACCAGAAGACGTGCCCTTATGCGTGTGTGCAGGTGTGCATTTATGTGCACACATACCATGTGCATGTACACGTGTTCACATGTGTGGGCACACAACGGCTAGGGTGGTTGCCCGGAGCGTGTGTGCTGTAGCTCGTATGAAGCTGCATGTTCCACGGACATGATCTTTTGGTCCCTTGGATTCTGACTTGCCACAATCATGTGGGATTCTCTGACATCTTCAGACTCTGCCCGGTGTTGCACAGGCCATCTGGCTGACAGCTCAGCTCGTCACACCTGCACAGTGAGGGCGCGGGGCCTCGCCAAGCGCCGGCAGATGCCAAGGTCAATGGAAATTCCAAAGCATCATGATTAATTTGGCAGGTTCTTGACTGTGAGGTCTGGTGTCTGCGGGAGTTTTATTGACCACCCGCTGTTAATTTCAGAAAGCTCAGGGCCAACTTTATGAAGACATTTGCCCCATCAACACCGTCCAGACCGTGACTGTCCCCTCTTTATGGCTGCGGTGAAGGCTGGGGGTCCTCAGAGGGGCAGCAGTGCAGCTTTCCTCATCCCGTCTTCTCACTCAGCGATGTCCTCCTGGGACGCCCCGCTGCCCGCAGGGACTCTGCTGTCCTCAGAGAGGTCAACGGGATGATGATGCGATTCGGTCACTGCCCGCAGTGCTTGCTCTGCAGTTCTCGCTGCCCCTCTGTGACAATGTCACCACCCTCTGTGACAGTGAGCCCCTGCCCGGAGCAGGGGTGTTAGAGCAGACATCCAAGACGAAGGGACAGCTGGGCTCCATGCAGTGTCAGTGAACCCCAGAATAAGGGGGACAGGGCCTCTGATGGCTTGGGGTGGGGGAGTGCAGAAGACAGACCCCTGGTGGGACCTCGCCCCGGCCTCCCTCCACCAGGCAGCTTGATGCCAAGGCCAGTGAGGCCTGAGGAGGGGCGGCTGGTGGAGAAGGCCCTCCTCTCGGGTCTGCATGAGACGTCTGAGCTGACGGGCCTGAGGCAGGGTCCCCAGAGCCCCACCGCCTCGCGTGGCCCCAGAGCACATGGTTCCTGTGCACTGGGAATAGCATCACAGGCATCTGGGAGCCCAAAGGCCATGGTTGGATGGACGCTCGTCCCGGCTTTGACCAAGGGCTTCTCCGCGTCTCCCACTGGCGGGGATGGGCTGGCGTCCTCGTCAGGGCACAGAGCACCCGCGAGCCCTGTGCATGGGTCTCAGAAGATGGCGTGTGGCACAGGGAATGGAAGTGACTTTCCTGGCTCCTGTCGCCAGAAACGAGGCGTGTGCCGCCGCCTGCCTCCGGTGACAACGTTTGGCACAGATGGGACTTCCTCTCGGCCCGTGTGAGAAAGATGCATTCACCCTTGTTCTCTGGAGGTCAATTTCCAAGTCGTAACCTCCACGTTTTCTCCATGCCGCTCTTCTTTTTTCCTCCTGGGGACGTGGGCAAGGGGAGCAGGTGCTTCTGACGTTGTCGCGGGTTTTCCTTGAGGTGCGAAATCCACCACCTGTTTTCTGCTGACACATGTGACGAAGGTGGACGTGCCGTGGTAACAGGGGCATTGTAATGACAACAGAGTCAGTGTCACTGCTCGAGTCCCTGTGGGCCCAGCCCCTTCCTGGAATTAGCCTGGTTTCCGTAACTGAGAGTTCACCGGCTGAGTTCAGAGAGTGACCCTCGGTCTGCAAATCATCAGCGGTCGGAGCAGACATGGACGAGCGCCACCCACCATCCGACGTCCTGCCTTGGGTCCCCTTGGGCTCCTCTGCTCTTCACTGTTGATTTGCAGCCCCTCAGCTACCTCGAGGACGGTCTTGGCCCCTTTCCTGGGCTCCGACCCCTCACCTGCATCAGGTGGGGCCCAGTGAGCCTCGAGGAGTCGGGAGGGTGGGACGCCGCAGTTGGCCATGGGCTGTGCACATGTCCACATCCCCCTCCTCAGGCCACATATCCCAACGTGCAGGATGAGATGCATAGGATAGAGCAAATCAACTAAACCACAACCATGGACGGCTTTCCAGGCCCTTTAACTGGACAGATCCCAACAAGAACAGACCACTTGACCAGCTCTTCACAGATGACGCCGGGGGACTGGACCCACATGTGGACTCAGTGCCACGGGGCCCGCAGTCCAGTCCTCGTGTCCAGGTGGACAGAGGTTCTGCTGGGGAAGAGGTGGCCAAAGATGGTGCCATCTCAGGCCGGGCCTCCCACTGTGGGCAGGGGCCGGCGTCCAGCCGGGGGCAGGCTGCTCCTGGAGCCTCTCACGTCAGGCTGTGCTGCCCCCAAGGCCACGGTGACCTGCCTGACCGTGAGGGCCGGGAACGCACAGGTGCTGATGGTGCAGGCAGTGCGCGATGGACGCCTTCTCCAGCGAAGAGAAGGGTTTGTAAGAGTAGAAAGCTGCTGTTTGATTATGTTACTTTAGATTATTTACAGAAATTTAATAACTCACTTCTGCTCCTTTCTCTCTCCTGTAAACATTCCAAATACGCAGAAGTGCGCGTTTTCCTGAAAGGATCAGCTGAGACACACACTGACACGAGTCGTGCCAGGAGGACGCCCTCCCGCGGCTTAAGGTTTAGGATCCCGTCTTGTTGGCCCCGTGTCTCCCACTAGAAGGCGCTGAGCGCGCGTCCCGTGTCCAGCTCAGTGACGCTCCTCTTTCTCTCCCTCTCTCCCGAGAGACGTCCCGTGGACCATCCTGCAGCACAACGGCTCGACCTTCACCAGGGTCAAGGGCACAGACCGGGAGAACCCACACAGGGCCACGTTCCAGTACGCAGCCACAGCAGAGCAGCTGTCGGCCACCATCGCCCGCGCTGGGCACTGCCAGCAGGAGCTGGAGTTCCACTGCAGAAGGTCTCGGCTCCAGGACACTCGAGGTGAGTGGCCCTCAGCCCCTCGGAGCCACACCGACAACCCCAGGTGGGACGGCCCTTCCTGGACCTGACCTGACCTGGTGAGTGAGGTGCATGCAGGTGGGGTGCAGGTCCGGCTTGATCCAGGGACAGCTTGCTGACCCTGCAGAGGGTAGACAGTTACCCCAACTATTTTCCATGCTCTGTCTTGTGTGTCCAGTCGGCTTCTAAATGCTGGTTCAGGGTGTGCATTTTCTCCCTTCAGAACATCTGACTATGTCACTGTTTCTCTTCTGTCCCTGTCAACTCCTCATGTCCCCATTCTTCATTGCTGCAAGGCTTCCATCCCACCCCCTGTTTCTGGCCTCTAGATTTTCCAAATTGTCCAATGGTTCGCTCTCTATGAACAGACAAATCTTTCCAGATTCTGGTGTCTTTCTGGACTTTGTTTCCACCGTGCACTCTCCTATTTCAGAAGCCCTTGGGCCTTGCTGGGCACAGGGACCCCCTGACACTGCCCCCATGACTTAACCTGCACCTGCTCCCCAACTCCTGGTTCCTTAACTTGGGCCTGGGTGTGGCACGCTGAAACTGATTTATAATGACTTTAGCTTGTCCTTGAATTTTGCAAATCACTCCTCTTTCTACCAACTGGGGAAATGAGAGAAGAACATAAGGGAGCCTCTAATTAAAACCACGTCAGCCAATATCACCTTCACTCCATGTCTTTTCCTGCAAAGGAGCAGAGTCACAGGTCAAAGGTCAGGACAGCCAATGGCTCCCGGCCCCTGGTGTGAGCTGTCATGATACATGTCATGTCCAGAGGACGCTGCTGCCCGGCCCCTGGCCCTCAGGCAGGTCTCAACTCTGGGCCCCACAGCCCGAAGGGTCAGGTCCCCCCACACCTGGGGGCTGGCCACCTGCTGTCAGTGTGGCCTTCCTGCCTCCCCCCCAGATGCAGAAGCCCCTCCTCCTGGCTCCCTCGGAGCTCAGCTCTGCCCTCGGCCAAGCCCCTGGTTCTCCCATGCCTGGGACCTGAGGGAGGTGCTGGGTCCCCTGAGCCGAGGGTGCTTGTCAGGATGCCCTTGTCATCCACCCCTGTCCTGCATTTATAGGGAACATGAGACAGCCCAATGCTCATTTCTTAGTGCATCTTTGTTGAGTTTTGACCACTGAATTAAAAACAAAAGGACATGTAAATATTGAAGTTTGTTCTGAGGAGAATGAGCAGAAGAAGGTGCCCTGGGGTGACAGAAGCCTGTCACTAAACAGAGGGGAGGCAGCCAGCAGGGCCCCAGGGAGCGGAGTGCAGGGGCTGGCCATGAGCACCCCACTGCCCACAGGTGGGCCCCTCCGAGACAGAAGGAGTGCTCCCAAACGGGGCGGGAGAAGGGCTGGAACCCGGGAGGAAGGCTGCACTTGCCAGAGGAACGGCCCTGTGCCTGCCCCGAAATCGTGTCCACCCTCACACGCAGGGGTGACTCACACCCGAGAACGTCCAGTAAAACTGTCACTTAGACGTCCCAGAGCCTCTGAGGGGACAGCTGGAGGCAGGAGGCGGGGATTTTGACGTCATAGTTTGCACACTGTGACATGGGGTCCCTTGGGGCCCAACTTGTGCTGCAGGTGACTCAGAGCGTCAGCTCTGTCCCGGGCGTGGGCGGGGTCCCAGGGGCTTAGTGGGTGGTCCGAGAACAGGCAGAACCCAGGGGCTCTGTGCGTGGAGCCAGGAGGCAGCTGCCTCCTCCAGCCTCCAGCCTCCAGCCCAGGGCTGTCTGACTGAACGCAGGTGCGCACAGGTGGCCCTGGGGCACGGGGCGGGTTGGGCAGACAGCGCCAGTGCAGAGTCTTAAGGAGTTGGGATCCGGGTGGACCTTTAATGATGGATGTGGCCGGAGCAGGTTTCTGGGCAGGTCCAGCCCTGGTGTCCAGCAGGTCCAGGTAGAGCTGCTGGGGTGAAAGGTCAGAGGACAGATGGCAAGGATGCTTCCACCTGGGCTGGAGGAGGTGTGTGTGGGGGCCTGTCTGACGACCACAGAAGGAGCTTTGTGTCGAGGTGCCAGCGCCTGGTGCCCCCACAAGCTTCGTGCAGATGGTCTGGGCCTCAGCCTCCTGTGGTCCCAGCCCTCCCAGGTGGATCTGGTGGGAGAGCATCTCAGCAAAGACGCTCCAGCGAGGGTGACAGCACCGGGACGAGGGCCATGTGCCTCCTGCAGATCCCTCATGTCTGCAGGGCCAGGGTGTGAACGTGGATAAACACACAGACAGACAGACCCAACGAGCCAGTTGTGGTGGAGACAGAAGGAGAAGAAAGGCCAGGTGGGGGTGAGGTCAGGACGGGGAGGGAGAGAGGTCCCAGGGCCCAGAGGCTACAGGGGCAGAAGAGGGAGACGGGGAGGGAGGGCCTCAGCTGAGCATTTAGGATCCCGAGGGTGGTTCAGACGTGGGTGTGGAGGGAGCAGTGCTGGGGGTGGGGAGGCTCCGGGGAGAGGAGCAGCACCATGCTGCCCGGGGGCTGTCTGCTGGGGGGCTGGGGCCTGAGGCTCAGGAAGTGTGACTCTGGGGGTCTCCCAGCCAGAGACCCAGTTAGGAGCTCTTGGAACGCGACTCCTCATGCACCAGGAATTTTCCTATTTCTGTCTTTATTTTCTTCTTTATATCTTCCCTTTGTTTTATTAATTATTTCTTACACCTTCCCCAAATCTCTAGAATACTTAAAAATTCCAAAATGCAACCAAAAGACCCCAGATGTCATTAAAAGCGTTTGATAATTGCTGTTTTATTGGAAAGATTGGGGATCTCACGTTAAAAACGCAATTATAAGTTGGATTGCAGTGATGTTTTTCCTCTTTGATTTCTGAAAGCATAATTGTGAAGTAATTAAAATTTTAAAGCGTCATTATCAAAATATCTATTAAATATTTTAGAAACCTTCTGCCTCAGCAACAAGCTCTTGGCTTAATTGGGAAAAGATGTGTCTTTGCGCACAGCTCGCTCTCCACGGCCGCTGGGAGCTGGCGGCGGGCGGTGGTGGGTTTGCTCATGAGCGGCTGTCCAGTCTCACAAGGGGAGGGAGGGTCCCAGTCTGACGGGAGCTGGGCGCGGGCACACATTCTGATACTCCGGCCCGTGGTGACCACTCATGGCTCAGAAGGGAGTGTGGAAAAGGCCAGCATCTCTGAGAGTGGATGCCTTGGACGGTTCTTCAGGGCGTATCCACCTCCTCTGGCCCCTCTGGGTGGTCGTGCGCCCACACGCTCTCTTCGCATCACCTTCTCCCAGGTTTGGGTGCTTCCTGGGGCTCTTGGCAACGCCCGACCATCTTGTGCTGCAGGCCTGGGCGTTCAGGAGGCACCCAGTTCTGTGTTGGAATCCTGGCCAGGCGGCCATGGGCTCCAGGCCACAGTCAGGGGCACAGCTGGCCCCCAAGCGCAGGAGGAAGGTGTGTCTCTGCAGACGGACAGACAAGCTCTCGGTGCAGCTGAGCCCAGACAACGCAGGCCCCCGCAGATGGTGTACCACTCGGGGCCCCACAGTGCCCACTCGAGGCCTGCAGCCTGGGAGCCTGGGTGGATGCACAGGGGGAAGTCAGGGCCTCCCGGAATGTGTGCGTTGTGTTGTTTTGATCCAACAGGCATGTCAGCTTCCCCATCAGACATCGGCTTCCGCTTATAAACAGCCGCTGCTACTGTTTTAATTGTGACAGTGACTCATTCTTTAATGTGGTTCTTAAAGAAACCGCATAAATTTGCCTATTAAAAATTACTTCATAGCCTGACTAAAGGATTAGGCTGTATTGTTCTGTTTGTGTGAAGGAGAAAGTCATCGCTAAAGCAATTTCTCTTTGCTCCGTAGGTTTCTTGATGATAAGCTGGGAGGGACGGGGCTGTCTGGGTGGTGGGGACCCAGCGGACGTCACCTGTCTCGCACTTGTCTTTCAGATGGAACCTCTCTGAGCTGGTGGGTTGGAAGAAGCAACGAGACACACACTTACTGGGGAGGTTCTTTGCCTGAAGCTCAGAAGTGTCCTTGTGGCTTCGCGGGGACCTGCATAGATTCCCGATATCATTGCAACTGTGACGCTGACCGGGATGAATGGTGAATTGCCTGATTTCCTTCACAAGACCTGGTTTTGTTGTTGCTTAAAATGCGTCTGTTCAGGGGCCGGCCCCATGGCGCAGCAGTTAAGTGTGCACGTTCCACTTCTCAGCCACCCAGAATTTGCTGGTTTGGATCCCAGGTGCGGACATGGCACCACTTGGCAAGCCATGCTGTGGTAGGCGTCCTGCATATAAAGTAGAGGAAGATGGGCATGGATGTTAGCTCGGGGCCAGTCTTCCTCAGCAAAAAGAGGAGGATTGGCAGCAGATGTTAGCTCAGGGCTAATCTTCCTCCAAAAAAAACTATGTGTCTGTTCAGGTAGGTATTGCACAGCTGGTCCAAAGAATGAGAGACTGAGGTATGTCCCGGCAGGTTAGGAACCACGTGGTGATGAAATAGGATCCAGTTAGTCTGAAGCCTGATCATTAAGATCAATGATTCGCTGGTTTTCTTTCTTTCTTTGATTTATCTGTTGTTTCATATTTCTGACCTGTTTATTGTGGACAAGGTCAAACTGTGAAGAGACAATAATGCTAATGAACCCATGTACCCATCACCAGCTCATGGTCAGCCTCCACTCCTTCGTCCCCCGCCCGGGTTATGTGGAGAAAACCCGTGTAGCACGCCATTTCACCTGTCAATATTTTGTTTTGTGAAAAACAAAACGGTGAAAAAATTCCGTGTGAATCATGTACATTTTTTTTGCTCAGATGATATCAGCCTCGTTAAAGGTTTAAAAAGGTTTAAGTTCTACCTAATTAAGTTCACTTCAGAGATCTCTCGTTGACAGGACATCATTTCGGAGGTGTGCCCCTCCAATGTTGTTGACACTAAGGGGGTCCCCAGTCCAATAGATGGCGCTTCCTGCAGGGGGTGGGCTGGCACCACAAAGGCTCGGAGACGCCCCCAGGAAGGCGTCCACCCAACTCCCAATGGGGTCCAAAGGTGTTTGATCATGTGGTTGGTCAAATTCATGTATGTCTAAAAACATATATCACAGCGTGGGCCATACTCTGGAAATACCAACCCACGGAATACCGAGGATTTAAAGACGGTCCTCACAACTATTATACGGGAGGAGTGTCTCCCGTGGATAGAAATCTGTGAAACGAGAAAATTTGTTCATTACACTGGAGGCTAACCATCTTGCATTTTATTGCATATTGGTTTTGTTTTTTTTAATTTATTTGTAAAGCAAAAATGTTTAGAAATCTCTAGGACTTGTGTTTCAATATGGATTGCCAATTCAGAAACATTTCAGTCAGCCCAAAAGCTTCAGATGTTCCATTTATATGCTACCCGATGAGCATTGGTCATGGACCCCAAATCACTTTTAAAAAGTAAAGTTTGATCAAAGTGCTGTATTGGGCTGCAGAATGTTTGGTATCCTCAGGAATCAGTCCACTCAGAAGGGAGCCCACCGTTTCCGTGGCCAGCTGTTCGTCTGGGTCACCCGGCGTGCACAAAGACCAGGACACTTTGGTTGTAGGATATGATTGCAGAAGTCAAAAAAGGTGCTGAAATAGAGTATCCTGGAGGGCAGTCTACATGGAGAACGCTGGTGCTTTTAAAATGCATCCTTGTGTGAAGGACACTTTCCCTCTTACTCATTTCCAAGTTAAAGAGGCGCCCAGGCCACAGGCGGGGCCTCCTTTCTCCCTCTGCTTACAAATCCCAAACAATATCCCACTTAATCAAATAAATGCAATTTCATCTATCAGAAAATATATTTTAGCCTTACTTTTAAAATGTGAGCACCAATCATTTTTCACAGTCAGTGTCTTTCACAGCCAGTAGAATAGCCTGTAGGTAAGAAGATTTTTGATATTAAATGGAAACACAGCCTTTGCTATAACAAAGACAGTCCCTTGCTGGCCCACTGCAGCGAGACCACCACAGGCATCTCCTGCTTCCTCTTCCTTGCGCCAAGTCGCTGGCCATCTCCCTTTGCGCCTCCATCTCACTCCCAGCTCTCCAGGACACCCCAGTTCTACACACCCCCAGAACTCCTGCCTCCCAGCTCCACATAAGCAGTTGGGAGCGAAGGCTGGGCCACCTACTATGAGAGAGTTTGGGTTTGCAGGAGCCTGGATCGCCCTGTGGTGACCTATGCACACATTTAGAGAAAAAGCTATGTCCTTCTTCCAAGATCCCGTGGAGCACTCTGCTGGGACTAGCGCCCTCATATTACTGACTTTACACTTGGGAGAGGCGGCGGCCACAGGGGAGCTGGGCTGGGATCCTGGGCCGGTGGCTCCTGACTGAGCCGTGCGGAGGAGATGAGAGGACCCAACGCGCCACTAGCCAGGTCTGGGTCGGATCCATGGAGCGGAGCAGATGGCATGCATGCCTCGGACAGTAGACTCCGTCCTTTGCTGGAAAGAAAGCTTGGGAAGAAACAGACTGGCAAAGCCGCCGCATCCTACACCCTTGTCTTGACTGTTTGGAAGGGTTTGGAGGCTGGTTGCATCTCCATGAGGGTTTATTTGTGCCATGTTCGTACACGTATCTGGTTGCAAAGACCTCACCTGAGGCAGGTGCCTTGGTTGATCCGTGTCCCACTGGAGATTCAGCCTCGCCTCACCTCGCTGGCACATGCTCTGGTCTTGGGAAATGGACTGAAGACTCAGAGAGGTGTACATGCCGGAAATGACTGACTCTCTAAGACTCACCTCCTCTCCATGTCCCCAGGACAGCCAAGGGCACTGGCAAAGGGAACGCCCCGTGGAAGGGGCCCTGGCTTGGCTGGGAAGAGCAGGACTGGTGGGGAGGGGTATTGCTATAAGGCTGAACCACAGGAGCAATGGGGTAGAGAAGATTCTGGAATGGCACTTAACCGCAGGAAGCCAAGTGGATGCAATGTCTGGAGGGGCGATAAGTCGGGGTTACAACCTGCCTTAGAGGGGTCAAGGGGACAGCTAACAGACCTAGAGGAGGGTAGGGAAAATGGACAGCCGATGACAGCACTGATGGACCTCTACAACCAGAAATGAATCCAGAGAGGTGGTCTGGAAAATGGCATAGGAAGTCGTGATCCCTTTTCCATCTCAGACCGTGGTTCCGGGAAGGCCAGCATCCTTGCGGAAGGACGCTGTGATGCCAGCAGGTGCGTGGAGTAAGTGGTCCCGCTCCCCCCTGCAGGGTCCCCTTGCACGGGGGGGGGGGGGGGGGGTGGACAAGCTGCCCTTCTGAGGGTGGTGGTGCAGGGTCAGTGTGTGACCTGACTGATACCTTGTTGTGAGTCGTTGGTACAGGCTGGTGAGCATCGTACCCTGTTGATGTTCACACTGCAGCACGGGGCACCACAGGACCCTAGGAATTAGAAGTGGTGGCCATGTAGCAGTGAGGTAGTGACACAAGTATGTCATGGCGCAAGTGGTGGCATAAGGGATGGACATAAAGGTGGTGATTAGAGGATGTCTGTGGGGTGGGAAAGGGCCGTGCAGATCCCTGGGGTTCTGGAGGGCTGTGACTTGTCTTCACTAGGAATGATCTGTTTCCAGTTGTGGGTTTGCCTGTGGACCCTTGGACAGTGCCGTGGCTCACAGAGGGTCTGATGCGCACGTGGGTGGGCAGAGCATCCTCTCAGACGCAGAGCTGTGGCTGCACACGTCCCTCATCTCTCCACGTCCCTAGTGCACAGGAGCTGCCGGTCACACAGTGTTGGACTAACGGTCACTGAGAAGCTCAGCCAAAGTGACAGTTTGGGGATAAACCCTGTGGGATCAGGTCAAAGCAGTGGTGGTTGTGTGGGTCTCTCCCCAGTACCTGCAGCATCGCTGACCCCTCTCGTCATCCCGTCCGACGACTCAGTGGGGGAATCTGTGCTCCCCCTCTGCACAGCTTGGAGTTGTGTGGTTCGAGGCCCTGGGGCGACACTTCCTCCAGTGGACACTGAACCGGAGCCACAGACCTGATCCCTCTGGGCGACTCGTGCCGGCGAGCTCAGGCAAAGGACGAGCTTCATGTTTGTGGCTGTGAGGACTGGCTTCTCCGTAACGGGGTGGGGAGTCCACCTGGAACCCTGAGCATCCTCTGGCACCGACACACCCAGCGTTATCAATAAAGGGCCGGCACAGCAACCGTGGCTGGCAAGGGAAGGCTGACGGTCAGACCCTCGGGAGCAGGTCTTGGTCCACCTCTGGGTGGGCAGCCTGGACCCGCAGCAGTGCCTCAACAGAGGGGACTCTAAGACGAGCAGGGTAGGGAGCCAGTGAACTAAGACCTCAGAACCCCCTGCAGGAGCTACGGCGTGGCCCCTGGGGCTGCTGCTGCCACCACCCTGAGAGTCAGCGATGGGACAGAGTGGATTCAGTGTGGACCCAAGTGGATCAGTGCAGGGCGAGGGGCGGACTGTAGCGAGCCTCCAGATGCCATGCAGCCAAGAACGCCTTCACCTCTCAGCCGGGACAAGTGCCGGCCTCGGGAGTGGGCTTGCTGTGCAAGACATGAAGGCGAACCAGAGTGTTAGCACGCCCAGCACACCCCGAGGATGGTGAGGAGTGACAAAGTGTGCACAGGGGCTCTCTGCTGCAATGTGTCTGTTAGTCTGGAATTAGTCAAAATAAAAGTTGCAAAATAACTCAGACAGAGGTGTGTGTGTATGTGTGCACACGTGCATTGACAAGCTGATTCTAAAGTTTAGATTGAAAGCAAAATAGTCAAGACAATGTTAAAGAAGAAGAAGAAAGCTGGAGGATTTGTGCTTCTGGATCTAAAACCTGTCAGTGGCTCTACTGACCAAGAGAGTGTGGCATTGGTGCAAAGACGGACAAGGATCAACGGCAGCATAGCGTGTGCCGAGACGGAGTCACAGACACGCGGTCCACACAGACACGGACGGGAGGGTCTTTTCAGTGAGCAGAGCCGAGTCAACTAGATGTCCATGTGGATGAAGTAAATCCTGACCTTTACTTCATACCACACAAGGGTCAATTCCAGGCAGATTTCCGAACACATATGAGAGGCAAGGGAATAAAGACTTTAGGAGGAAACAG